CTCATAAGGCATCTTGCCGTCGAAGAGCTCATGATTCTCAAGTCTAGCCACGACCAAAGCAGCCTCTTCGAGTGGTGAGGTTTGAGGCTCAGTGTTTCCTGTGTCGTTCGACGCTTCGAGGAGACGGTCGCGCTCTTGTTCCTCGTAGCTTGCACGAGTGGTGAGCCTCCAAGTCAGGATAGCCCAAGCAAATGTTGGTGGTGTAGCCGGACTGGCGCCCAACAATTTGGCCTCGCCGAAGATGGTGGTGATGCTCTCTACAACCGTGCCGTTGAGGATATACGATGAGGAATCCCAGGCGTTGCAGTTGCCGGACTCGAGATCATCCATAATTTTGTCCACTTTCAAAATAGTCAGAGACATGAGTGAGGTCAGCAATTGTATCACCGGAATAAGAGGTTCCTGACGAGCCGTGACTGCAGGGAATTCGCGGAAAAAGCCGCGGAAGCTGAAGGCTTTCAGCCAGTCCTCGATAGTGGCGGCAGGTAGGAAGTCCTTGGCGACCAAGTCTGCGTGTACCAAGGCCAGATGAAGAATATGCAGCATCTCTGTAGTCTGCGCGACGACCCATCTCTCCGACGCAGGTTCTAGTATCGATTCGTCAACGTTCCAGCCATAGCCGGTGTCTAAAGCGTCGCATCTTTTGGAGAATGCTTTGAGCAACTCGTCTAGCGCTTTTCCGCCCGATGGGCCATCTTGTGCTGCTGCGATAGCCTGTCCAAGCTCTTCAATCCAGCCGGCGCCAATGCTAAGGTAGTCGTTGCCGTAGATGGTTTGGCTGCGCAGACTGGAAGCGCAACCCCAAGAGACGAGAAGTTGGCTGATACGTATGATGGAGGCGCACGTCGAATGATAGACGTCGAGGATGTGGAGGCGGCGCTGGTCCTTTGCATCGAGATGCGCGGTCTTGGAAGCGAGCGGTGAGGCCATGATGGATGAGTTTGGGACGAAAGTCGAGGCGCCTAGATTCCCGACTCCAGCGGCTTCCTGTACACTCAGAGCCTCCTCTTCAGTGAGTCCGCTCAGCAGCTGTGCGGTTGGCCTGCTCTGCCATTCCTGGACGACCAACTGCAGCGCTGCATATTCTGATATCTGCGCCTCTTTGGCCAGCCACAGGCTGTCGTCCTTGATCTCTGCGACATCGTAGTGTTCGCTCTGGGCGGGCGTCACGCTGATGGGCGCGGTCTTTGATTCGAATCTGCTCTTCTCCTGCGACGACGGGTCGGGAAAGGGCTTCCACGGGCGGCTGAGGATGTCTCTGTTCTCGTTGGCGGTGAGGAAGGCGCGTAGGGCGTCGCTTTTGGACGCGGTTTCGGGGTCGCGGAGGGCGCGGTATGCGATGTCCCAGGTCCTGCTACTGTCAGCTACGTTGGTGCGCTCGATGCAGGTGAACATACACAAGCTGCTGCTCGCCCTTGAGGCACTTGCCCAGGTCGAACTCGGGGGATTGGATGGGGGCCATGGTTGCGCTGCAGTGCGCGAGTAGGAAATCAGCTAACCAAAGGCCATGAAGGTGCTGGAAAGGCGTGGGGGAGGTGTTGCCGAATGTTTGGCGTCAGTGTCTACGAAAGTCGCGAAAGCCAAAGCTCACGCGAAAGTCGAGCTAGTACGTGCAGGGATCATCACAAGGGTCAACACCTACCACACACGCTTCAACGTTTGGAAAGAGACCAGACGCGCATAGAGACATTAACGCCATTTGATTTCGCTCGTATTGGTTCGCGTCGCAATGGGTTTTCTTTGGTTTTCAATTGCCTCCTGCCAACAATGCAGCAGGAACTTGCCCGCGGACTGCCTGCACGCAGAAAAAGACCCGTCTTTGGTATATACAAACTCAGAGTAATCTTTTACACTTTCTTCATCCAAGAGGTCGCGAAAATGCGGCGTTGCTGTACCAAACGTGAGGTACGGTACTGTAGCACTAAGGACCGATTCATGCCACCTCCGTGCTAACTCCGCAGCCTCAATATCTGAATAGTGCATCATTGAGTCACCCCACTACTCTCCTAGACAGCCATTCCTTTCCACCTTGCCGTCCCAAGTGCACTCACGTCTCCCGGCGCGCGCTCCGTTAATCGGCAGCTAATATATTCTAAACGTCGACCTCGCCGTCAAAGGGCCGGCACGCTTTCTGCCATCTGACCGCCGTCGGGTACTCAGACGAAGCTATATAACAGCCACCGGGCTCCCAACGCGACGGTAACGCTGACGCAGAACACCGCCCAAGATGCCCGCCCTCGAACTAATCGACCACTCGCCCAGCAATCCCACACCATCCCCGCCTATCCCCACCGCTTCCAACGTTGTGCTCATTGACAACTACGACTCGTTCACCTGGAATGTCTACCAGTACCTCGTCTTTGAAGGCGCGAAAGTGACTGTATACCGAAATGACGAAATTACGCTCGAAGATCTCATCGCGAAAAACCCTACACAACTGGTAATCAGCCCAGGTCCAGGACACCCTGAGAAGGATGCAGGCATTAGCAATGCGGCCATCAAGCACTACAGCGGCAAGATTCCGATTTTCGGCGTGTGCATGGGCGAGTGAGTTCTCGGTTCCCAGTGGGCGCAACAGGCGGGGCAGTGCTGACACAACCAAGACAGTGCATTTTCTACAGCTACGGCGGTACCGTAGACGTCACAGGCCAGGTCCTGCACGGCAAAACGTCGCCTCTCAAGCACGACGGCAAGGGCGTCTTTGCAGGCGTCTCGCAAAATGTTCCCGTTACGCGCTACCATTCCCTCGCCGGCACCCACGGCACTCTCCCAGACTGCCTCGAGGTCACTGCGACCATACCCGCGAACGAAGATGCCGAAGTCAAGGAAGTCATTATGGGCGTGCGACACAAGGAATACGTCATGGAGGGTGTACAGTTCCACCCAGAGAGCATCTTGACAGAGGACGGTCGCCTCATGGTGAGGAACTTCCTAAAGATGCAGGGAGGCACCTGGGCCGAGAACGAGCGACTGCAGAAAGAGGCACATGCCCAAGCAGTCGGAGCTGGTTCCAACGGCACAGCAGCCGGCGCAAAGAAGGACAAGCAGACATCCATATTGGAGAAGATCTACGACCACCGCAGGGCCTCGGTCGCTAAGCAGAAGGAGATTCCGTCCCAACGACCCAGTGATCTACAGGCTGCGTATGATCTCAACCTAGCGCCTCCTCAAATCAACTTCCCCGAGCGCCTCAGGCAATCGCCCTTCCGACTGTCACTCATGGCCGAGATCAAGCGCGCATCGCCATCCAAAGGCATAATCTCGCTATCCGCATGCGCTCCCGCTCAAGCAAGGCTGTACGCAAAGGCCGGTGCAAGCACGATATCCGTACTGACTGAGCCGGAATGGTTCAAGGGTAGCATTGACGATCTCAAAGCCGTTCGACAAAGCTTAGAAGGCATGCCGAACCGCCCCGCCGTCCTGCGCAAGGAGTTCATCTTCGAGGAATACCAGATCCTGGAAGCTAGGCTCGCGGGTGCTGATACAGTGTTGCTAATCGTCAAGATGCTGGATGAAGCAGTCTTGAAGAAACTCTACGACTACTCCCGATCACTTGGAATGGAGCCTCTCGTCGAGGTCCAGAACGCGGAAGAAACGGAGATTGCGGTCAAGCTGGGCGCTCAGGTCATTGGTGTGAACAACCGTAACCTTGTGAACTTCGAGGTTGACATGGAGACTACCAACCGTCTAATCAACATGGTTCCAAAAGAGACGATCTTGTGTGCGCTAAGCGGTATTGCCGGGCCCAAGGATGTCGAACCATACATCAAGAGTGGAGTTGGCGCAGTTTTGGTGGGTGAAGCGCTGATGCGCGCATCCGACACCGCTCAGTTCATCGCGGAGCTTCTGGGTGGCTCATCCACCAAGAAGACGGGAACAGCATCAAGCCCGATGGTGAAGATCTGTGGTACTCGCAGTGCTGAGGCCGCAAAAGCCGCGATCGAAGCAGGAGCTGACCTCATCGGCATGATCCTCGCGCCAGGAACCAAGCGAACAGTCACAGCTGAGACAGCTGTGGAAATCTCGGAAACCGTACACAAGACCAGAAAGCCTGTGGTCTCGAAATCCGGGCTGCTTGCTGAATCAAAGTCCGCCACCGATTTCTTTGAGCACGGCGCAGCACGACTGGTGTCAAGTGACAGTCATGCGCTTCTCGTAGGCGTGTTCCGAAACCAGTCTCTAGAGTACGTACTTGAGCAGCAGCGACTGCTGAATCTAGACGTTGTACAATTCCATGGCCAGGAGCCATTGGAGTGGGCAAAGCTTGTCCCGGTTCCTGTCTTGAGAGCATTCAATCCGCAGAATCTTGGCATTGGCTCAAGAGGGTATCACGCCCTACCACTTCTAGATGCAGGATCCGGTGGCTCGGGTCAGCAACTAGATCTCTCAGATGTCAAGGCAGTATTCGCGAAAGATGACGGTATCAAGGTCATATTAGCAGGAGGATTGAACCCCGAAAACGTCCAAACTACGCTCGCGGGACTCGATGAGTATCGGGATCGCGTGCATGCTGTCGACGTCAGCAGCGGTGTGGAGGAAGATGGCAAGCAAAGTCTGGATAAGATACGGGCATTCATTAAGGCAGCCAAGAATCAGTAGTGGCTGTTCAGAACACGACTACTGAAGCTGAAGCTGATCTTCGGTGTTATCGAATGTAACAAAATGAACAGCATCCTTCTGATCTCTTGTTGAATACTCTTTTTGCTTATCTATCTCTTACGAGTCAGAAAGCCCAAGGTTCTGATAATGGTGGTTTGTGCCGCCGCAAATAGCGGCCTGGAGTCGCTTTGTCGGCGTCTCTTACCTCTTGATGGTACCCGCACGGTCCCGGCAAACGCTATATCACTTCGACCGCTGCCCACCACCACAAGGTAAGACCAACGAGGGTCTCGCCAGATTTAGACCCTCAGTCTGGATATCATAAGCCTTCATCCACGTCGTCAAGCAAGTTTACACACCATCACTCCTACACTCTACAATCCAAACACCGCGCCGCTACAATGGGTGTGTTGGACAAGCTTACTATTGCCGTCGTCGGTACCCATCCCCACGATGCCAAACAGATCAAAACCTGGATCGAGCGAAACGGCGGCAAATACTCTGCGAAGATCAACAAGAGCGTCACCCACCTCATCGCCAGTAAAGAAGCATACAAGAAACCCGCCGACGCTGTACAACAAGCCACCGACCTCAACATCCACGTAGTCAGCTATGACTGGTTCGACGACTCATTGCAAGCGAAGAAGAAGTTGGGCACTAGGAAGTACACGTGGGAGGTGCTTATGAAAGAGAGGAGGAAGAAGAAAGAGCTCAAGAGGATAGGTACTCTGGCCGATGGCAGTAAGTTCAGGAAAGGCTGTGAGAACATCAAAGGGTTGACTGGATCAGGTACGTTGAAAACATCTCGTGTTGTTGCGAGAAAGCCGAGGAAGAGCAAGAGCTTCTTCTTTGCCACGTCTGCCCCGTCAGTTCCTTCAATCCCCTTCATTTCCGCGAAAGAAGACCTCTTGCGTAGGAGGGCGGAAAGGGAGGCTGCATTGGCTGAGGATGCTGGAGCTGGAGCTGGAGCTTGTGAGGACCGGGCAAAGAACCCTGAAGTCATCAATGACACCCCGAGCCCGGCAAATCAATTCTCAAAGCCTGTCGTTTCAACCCAGACACCTCCCAAGAAGCCTGAGCCCTCCGCTACCTCCAGAAAAGTTTCACAGGCTAAGATTTCTCGTCACTGGAAAGAGGACTACCATTACTATCAAGATACGGACGGCTTCGAGTACAAGATTGTTCTTGTACGCCAGGACAATCCCTCCCTTCAAGTTGGTTCTGCACATGTAAGTTCTGACCGTATAAACTGCCAATAAGACATGAACTGACCTCGCATGCCTGCCTCCACAGTACCACATTGGGCTATTGCAGAGTCATACAAAACCGCATGTGTACTGGGCGCTTGTACAATACAAGCCCGCTAAGGTGTTACCCCACGCAGAAAAAGAAGAGAAGGCAGATGTGAAGCAACAAGTGTCTGTTATCAACGACATCACTCAGCACCCTGAAGCAAGCCGTCTGCTTTCCATCGTCACCAAGCCAGCTCCAACGCCAGAGGCTCCGTACAACGGCGAGTTATGTCCCCGCGGCAGCGACTTCGCCACCGCATCCCGCTCCTTCCGCCACGCTTTCCGCGACCTTACCCTCCTCTCCTGGGAGGAACGTTTCGACGACAAGACCATGCAAAAAGCGCGCGCTCAACTCCTCAACATCGAGCCCTTCTGGTACGGAAAACCGAAAATGGGCATGCCAATGGGCAAGTAGTATCCCACCTGCACCTCAACATGATACATCTGCTGACCTCCTACCCCAATTTTTAGGCCTCCTACCCCAGTCCCCAAGCATGTACACAGGCACAACCTCCGGCCTCGAAGTCCTCGGCGACATATCCGACACCTACGTCCGCGGCACCTCTCTCCTCCCCTCGATCTCGCACCCCCTCACCCGCCACGGCTTCATCGGCGGCCCCATCCACCGCGACGCCGAAGACGCCCGCAGAGCCGAAGAAGCCCGTCTCCAAGCCCTCGCCGACGCGGAAGAAGTTGAAAAGCGCAAGGCTGGTCTACTACGCGCGAGGGACATGAAAGTCAACCATAACCGGCCCATGTTCAACGGGTCGATGGGTCGACCGACCGTGGATGCGTATGGCCAGCATATCAGTTATAGGGGCGATGGCGGGGTGAGTAAGTACACGGTGCCGATGCCGGTTGGCGGGAGTGGGAATGCGAATAGGGGGTTTGTGGCGCCGGAGTTTGCTCATCTTTTGGCGGGGGCGAAGAAGGAGGGAAGGCCTTGGCCGAGTCAGAGGGATGATCGAGGGGGATGAGTGAGGGGGTTTGGTGCTGGATGAGCGTTCGAGAAAGAGGCTAGGTATGGTTTCTTGGGCGTGGGGAGGTTGTCGGGCATGTTTATGTCGTGGTTATTCTCTTTACAGCACAGCGGTGGTTCGGAAGCTAGGCATACACTTTGACACTAGCTATCTCGAATCAACATTGCAGTAGCAAGTTGCATCGAAGTTGCTCTGTGGGTTGTGCTCGCTCGATGAGGTAATGCGCTAACCCCATACTACTAGAGTTGAAGCCGTCATAAGATTAGGTGCCAAAAGCTCATAACACAGACCAAAACCCACGAGCGGAAGCTCATGCAGAGTTCTGGCAGTAGATTCCCTTTCCTGTTATCTTCAAGGCCTTTGCAGTCGTTTCATACGCAGTGATAATCTTCAAATAGCGTATTCTCGGGTTCACACAGTCTGGACATCAAAATGTCAACGGCGCTCTTGTGGAACGTGTTCTGAGGCGTCAGATGCGTATAAAAGATATCTCGCTGTGTACAGTACACCTCCCCTCGCCCACCCAAAAACACCCTTTCCACCCAAAACAACGTTAATCCTTCCACATGTCCGCGGCTTCTGCGCCTTTGTCCTGTCCAGCAGAGTCGATCCAAAACGCCAACTTTCCGGCCTATGTGTAGACCACGACGTCGACAGTCGTTGCAACAAATCACGATATGCGTTGTGATTTTTACCGTTGACATTTATCTCTTGCTCCCAAAAGCCGACAAGAACGGGCTGATGTAGTTTCTTGGACGGCCTGCGCCCATGTAAAACCTTCGCTCTGCGTGCAACGTTATCCATCAACCTCCACAGCAAAACTCATCTTTACAAAAAGCGCCGGGTCACCTTCGCCATGTCTCTGCCTTCCGCGCCCTCGTCTCTAAGTCCAACCCGACTCAAAAGTCCCAACGTGTACTAAATGTGCGAAGCACGACGTGGAGCCTGTACATAAGAGTCCAGTCAAAAGACATGTCTTCCTTGCGCAAGCTCAGATACTGTTATTACAAATTGCATCCTGATGAGGTCATGGCAGTACCGCCAGAGCATGCGGACATATAAAGCACACGCCGTTCTCTCTAGGCTTCCTTCACATCCACACAAAATTTACCTTTTTACTAAAAAAACACACACTGTCCCCTATGTCTGCGTCTTTCGCGCCTTCATCGTAAATCTGGTTCGACCCGAAAGCACGAAACTCACACATCATGTAGCAACGCGAGGCCTGGGGTTTCGTTCAAAGTCGACGAGCAGTACTTCATGCCTTCGTTGCGCGTTCTCGTGATTGCTTTATCAAAAACGGAACAGGCAAGTGTATGACAGCGCTGCTCTGGAGTGCGAGTATATAAACTCAACGCCATCTTGGTCTCCCTTTCTTCTTACATGGACGACAGCTAACCTTTATCAAAAACCAAATTGAAAGGCTACAATGTCTGTGTTCTCCGCGGCTTCGTCGCAAGTCCGGCTACACCCAAAAGACCTCACAGTCAAGTGCATATGGCCGAGTGGAACCTCGGCTTTTGTTCAAAATACACATGTGGATATCCATGGCGTTTGGAGACGCTTCCTGGCCCTTGGTATCAGATTAGGAAGAGTTAGCTTCATGGCGGTGCTGCCCAGGACTGTGGCTATATAAACTTCGCTCATCGCCGGCCCTTCATGTCTTCATCATGCCACTTTCAGAGTGCATTTTCCAAAACGTGTTGTCGAATGGATCATGTCCTTCGTCGGCCTCCTGTCTTATTCTACTGCGTCTCAAAACGGCAGGAGAAGACGCTTATGGGGTTTTTCGCTTTCCAAAAAGTCACAGACAAAGAACATGATCAAGCGTTGCACTTCATGCCGTATTCTGGTATCGAAAACTAAAATGCTTGACTGAGCTATGTATGTCTGTCTCTTTCTCTGCGGTACTTCATGTGATCGGAGATGGTGGAAGAAACTTGGTAGTTTCATTTATCCTCAAAGCGAAATGCAAGCAAGTGATGCGCAGTGTTTATGCCTGACAGCACATGTCCAGTGCGGTGTGGCAGCAACACGGCGACAGCGAGCGACCGAAACAGGGTCTCGCCATTGGGATGAGCTAGGTGTGCGAGCGAAAAGGCGACCCGGTGCAGTCAAGGGCGGTGCGCCTTCGGGGCAATCTTCAAAAGGGAATTCCAAGAATGCAATGCTTGCGTGTGGTGAAGCAGGCGTCGTCATATGTGAAGATGCGCGACTCAAAAAGTCACCTGGCGGAGATTGATGTGAAGAAAGAGCCCTGGAGCGCACATTGCATTGATGCGAAAAGTCGAACGCCGTCGACCATTATTCAAGTCCTTGGCCGTAGCCCCCAAAGTCTCGGCCGACATATCCATGCCCTCCCAGTATCCAACCCAACCAAAAGAAAAGAAGACACGATCTATATGCCGCAAACCAAACACGCGCACGCAAATGCCATGCTATGTTACAAGCGGTCTATACGTCTATGCCAAACAGCACTCGCATGTATAGGTAATGACCGTCATCGCCAGACCGATCGCTCGTCGACGAAGAAGAGGAAGAAGGTGTCGGGGGTATCGCAGAAGTATGTAATTCGTAATCGTCCTCGCTCAAACGATGAGCAGCTTCTCAACGTTCTCGCCCGCGCTGCGCTCGCTCATGCGGTTCCACGCGGCGTAGGTGAGGACACCGCAGGCGGCCCACATGACGGGGACGGCGGCTTCGGCGCCAGCTGAAACGCACGTTAGTACGGTTACTTCATTTTTGCGATGTTTCTTTTCATGACGTACTTGGGCGCTCGGCCTGCGCGGCCATCTCCATGACGCGTGCTGCGCTGCTGGTTGAGCTGGAGGAGTTGGCGCGGATGGTGGCGGGTGCGATGCGCTTGCCGGCGAAGGCTGCGGTTATGGGGACGCGGGTGGCGATGCGTGCGAACATGATGTTGATGTGAGTTGTTGAGGTTTGAGAATGTAATATCGAGGAAACCGAGTTTATGTAGCGACAAGTGGCGATGTGAGTAATCCCAGCAATGACACGTATAAACAAACGATAGTCGTCGTCAAGTAAGTCCTCTTGAATGATAGTGAACGTGCGTAGTCGTAGTTTGAGTGAATCCGGGGAAAGAGGACACAGACACGGAACACGGTTTATATAAAGAAAGTGGGCCTGGGGAAGGAGTTGACAGGGCTGAAGGGAAAGGAGGCGAGGCCGGAGATGGCGCGAGCAGAAAATTTAGGGGCGGTGAGCGATCCGTGCAGGGATGTGCCAGGTCGAGATAGGCTTGGCCGCCAGCACGTGAGTGGGTCGGGTGCGGAAATAGCAATGCGAGAGTCTGGGGTAGCCGTCACTTTCGAGGAAGTCACGGCCCTTGCATCACGCGGTCTGAGCTCATGGTGATAAGTCTTGAAGATGATGCATTAACGCATCGCGATTGAATGCTGTTGAAGATAAGGCTCTCCAAGCTCCGCCGGCTCTATCTCGCAAAGAGCCGCAGAGACCCTGCTTTGAGATCGGCACTGCGGTGCATCCCCGGCCTTCTAGACGAATCTACCGAGAATTAACCTGCCCTCGCCACCCCCAGTCTCAACAACGATTCAACAACAAATCCAATAAACGCTTTTCCTCATGCTATTCATCGGCATTCGTTGTAGCAATCATGAAAACCTCCACTCCTATGTAGGAAGAACCTCGTGTTATATGTCGTACTTAACGAACTCGCCATGTAGACATTGATTTGCAACCAAACACTACCTACGTACTAAAGTAAGGGCAAGCCCTTCAAGGAAATTCTCCTTCAAGCATGCTAAGAGAAAGATACCAAGTGAATGTTGCACTAATCTCAGACTCATGCCTCCACTCAGTAGTTCTGCCACAGAAAGTCCTCAAGCTTCCTCCCTTCGCACACCTTCACAACCGCGTCTCTCGTCATGACCACCAGGGGCTCTTCGCGCAATACACGTTTCCACTGCTTTCGATTGCCCAACGCCGCGCCGTCGACGTGGGCCATTAACATCCGAACACAAGTCATCGCCGAGTTGATGTCCTTGTGTATGTGAAGCACCCCGCTTCTATCGTGTGAATGGCATTCCGCATCCCATAACGTAGGCCCGTAGTCACCGCAGCTAGCCGCGATGGCGAGCAGTATCTCAGAGCAAAGACGAAGAACTGCAAAACAGTTCAGCCGGGCTATTGGAGAGGTACCTTCGTACTCTGGTGCAATGATATCTTGCGCGCGACGAACAAGCTCCGATGGCGGATAGTCGGTGTAGATACTGCGGTCGCCTTTGTCGCGATCAAGTCTCCGAGTGATGTTTGGATCCCCAGTGAGTTTAGCCCAAAGCTGCGGGGTGGGACAGTAAAGGTTGGCAAAGCTGTCTTGTGCGTAAAGGCCCATCTCGCGTATGCCGAGTCTCTTGTCTGCAGAAAACGCTTGACGAGGTTCTTTCCTCGGAGCAGGCCCTAAAATGGTGTGAGACTCTGTCAGCTTTTGTATGATCTTTGCACCACAGAAGAGCTCGAAGACGTTCGTAAACTTCGCCCTCGGCCTCTGCTTCCCTGCGAAAAGGACATCATTGAATAGCACGCACAGATGCTCGAGCAGCGGGATCTGAGGGCATTCAACATCGATTTGCTGCAGCATGTTGTAGACATGCATGACAGCGCCGAAGATGTCTTGATCGTTCAGGATTTCGAGACCGATCCAAAGCGCAAAGTCGGTCATGGCGCACATATAGCTTCCCATGACCCAGGGCGATTGGGAATAAAGATCAAACTTTTTGTCAGCCAGGAACTTATCCATATGCAACCTGGTAAGCGCTAGACATCGATTGGTATTACGGTGGAAGTCGATATTGGGTCCGTCTTTGGCATGGAGCGCCGAGACTGCGCGAAGCATCTCGTTCGCTCGACTCAGTACCATGATCCGACAGTTTGGCGGAGTCTTCCCCATGTTCTCGCATTCATGGACAAAGCTACGCCCGCTTTCAATGAGCATGTGGGCTATCACCAAGCTCGACACTGTCATCGCCTTTTCCCTGATGTCATGCATCAGAGGAAGTGCTACAGGGTGCTGTATAAACCCTATGTTGTTAGACCAATTGCGGAAGAACGATTTGTCGTTACCAAATTCTGGCTGCCACGCTTCATAGGCCGGGTGTTGGGTAACACTCTTGACCATCGATGCAAGCAACAAACGATCCTGGGCATAACGGTCGGCGCAAATTCTCATGCCTGCTTCTGAGCGGTCTGATTCGAGGAGTTGACATCCTTCCATCGAAGCGAACTCGGTGATCGCCTGAGCAAAATCTTTTCTGGTCTTCTGCTCCTCGGATGAGTTCGGAAAGAAAGATTCGAATCGGCGACGCTCGTTCTCGAAACCTGGGGGGGGTATCTCCTGTCTTGACGAAAGCATCCAGAACTGCACCTGCCCAAAGAAGACCAGCGCCATGAGTGAACTCGACAAATGATGAAGTCGACGGATATCCGCCCAGATCTGCCGATGCTAATTCGTCTGCACTGATATCCGATCGAAGACCACCATAGTCCCCAACTTCCCGGAATACGCCCCGTTGGCACGTAACTGGCTTTCCTTCTTTGTAGTTGAATCGTCTCACGAAATGCTGAGCAAGGTTCGTCAGCCAGCCGGCAGTCGTGAGGTTTATGTCACCAGCCGCAAAAGACTTCCAAATCGTCTTCGTAATCTCCACGACGGCCTGAAGTTCTGCAATGTAGGTTGCCGTGGCAATGGCGTCCTCGATAGGGTCTTCTACGATGGCGGATCGGTCAGGGCTGGGCGTCGGAAGGCTGTCTTGCCAGTATTCGGTTGCGGAAACGTCTAATTCTTCCTCTACTTCTATTAGCCCAATCAGCGCCTCAAAGCTATTCGTAGTAGCTGGAGTGGATACGTCCGGCGATGCGTTCGATGCGCTCTTTGGACTCTTCCTCTTCTGCCTCGACTTTGGCATCAGCAACGCGTAGGCTTCAGCCAAGGTCTCGTTGAAGACTTTATGACGCTGCGTCGAGTCTTGAACCTCTTGCGTGGAGGATGGCAATGCCTCGTAGTACCTGGTCAACTTGCTGCGGTTTAATATGACGGTCTTGAAAGCCATTTGAATATCGACGGGTGGTTTCTTACCCATGCTTGCGGCCTTGCGCGCGCGTTCGGCGATCTGGCGCACTGTCAATTCTGCGGCGGGTGTCTGTTCTTCTTCCTCCGGGCTGCATTGTACGTTGGGTGTAGCTAGCAGGTCAAAAGAGACGAGCCAATCGATGACGATTGAAGTTCCGCGCTTGTACGTGCGATAGACGTCGGAGAGGGTAGGTGGCAGTCGCTCGGACGTTTTCGCGGAGGCAGGCGCAGACATCGTGGGGTAAGTTGAAGCGACGGGCCTGTAAGTCGTGATGCTGTTCGTACTGAGTTTGGAGTTGTATGAGTCGGGGAAAGGCGAAGGTCTGGATATTGTAGTTGTTTTCAACGGAAGGGGAGCTTGCGATTTTGTAGTTCAGCGAAACGTAGAAAACCCATCTTAGGCAGCCATGCATGCAACATCACACACGTGACTGGCTGTGGGAGTTTAGCGCAGCACCATCCCATGGTTCAGCGCAATCCTGTTGGAGAGTGGAACCATGCATGTAAATCGTGAGGGTTGCAAAGCCTACAAGTGGTCCCGCGCAGAACGCTGTCGTATGACCCATGGGTCGCCATCAAGCTAACCACCGAATGCACACGTCTTCCATCAAGGCTCGTGTCGCATGATTGACGAGAATCTGCGCCATAAGTCTGATCGCAGCGTTTCGACTTCAAGGAAGGTGCTGCGGTTGTGCAGCAATGATGGTTCGTCGCTCGACGCGTCCAGCATCGCGAAGCGTCGTTGCGCCTTCGAGAAAGGGGAAAGCGCGAGTGTTGCACATGCGAGTGGTTGCCATTACAGCCGTGCTACCTACACAGTGGAAGTTTCGAATGCGCGTAAAAGATGGGAACACACGCAGCAACAATACAGTGACAGTGCCTGGGATGAAAGGCTCCCGCGGAACATGTGCGGGGAGATTGTCCGGCGGGCTAGCGCGCCAAGCATTCGATCGATCAGGCTAGTCTGGCTCTCCCTGCACATGTGACGAAACGGAAGGAACGAGCTTTCGGATACACATCAACATGCGAGCAAAGTTCCGTTTCCTCAATCAACAGCGACAATGATTGCACATATACTCAGCTGAGACGTGTTCCTTCCGGCTGACCGGTCCATTGAATATACGACACTATCACTGAACTATCCACTAAACCCACCGTGGCTGCCTCACATGTCCTTCCATAAGTAATCCTCCGGCTTGACGTCTCCACAAACTTTGACCATAGCGTCACGTAGGAGAGCCAAACACTCATCTCTCCTGGCCCGTTTCAGCCCCACAGCTCCAGACTTCAAGTCTTTTTGATCAATGAAGAGCCTGGCCTGTTCCAAGAACACATTGGCTGCTTTCACGGTGTTCGATGAAACGTCAGGAACGCACTCAACCCCAGAAGTCTCCTCGATGGTCCTCAGCCATAGTTGCATATCTTCTGGTAGACCCCCTGGCTTCGAGACGCGGCCAGCAACATCCTTGAAGAAGTCGAGCATCAGGTCCACAACGGCGAAGAAGTTAACCTTTGCTACCGGGAATGGTCCCTCGAACTCCGGCAGTATGTGGTCTTTCGCGCGAAGTAGGATCTCGGAAGGCGTGAATTGGGCCAGGATATTTGGTCTAACATCGTGCTTTCTGTTCAACAGCCGCTTGTCCGTAATCTTGACCAGAAACTTGGTTTCCAGGTGGCATTGATATAGCATGGTCTGGGTTGCGAAGTCGGAGATGTTCCATATACCGATCGGAGGGGTGTCTCGAACGTTCTTCGTTCTCTCAGCCATCCGTTTCAACCCGGCGATCTCCGGCATTCCATTTCTCGTATACAACACCCCCTGGCCATTAGTGACTCGAGCCATGTTATCGAAGTTGGATGTGGGCCGTCCTTGGGAATGCGGAAAGATTCCCGGGCTGAGAATGTCACAAAGATGCTCCAGGATGGGAATGCGGGGGCAAGAGAACCCGATTTGTTGAAGCATATTGTACATGTGCAGCATGTTGGAGAGACATCCGTCCTCATTAAGCGGCCAGCTACCAACCAACATGTTGCGCGCCGCGATGGTCGCCATGTAGCTCCCTGCAACCCATGGTGCTTGCGAGTATAAGTCAAACACCTTGAGGGAAGTGAATTTGTCCAGCTGTTTAACTGTGAGTTTAGCCTTGGGGTACCAACAGTCTAATATCTCGGCCTTGACCGGGTCTTTTCCCGCTTCAAGTAGTTTTACGATCGCGTTCCGATTGTTCTTGGCGAATGACAAGACTTTAATCCGACTGTTGGTACTACGCAGATACTCGGTAGGTTTCGATGGAATGAAGCTTCGACAGCTCTCTATGAATAAGTGTACCCCCATGATGAGACTAGTCCGCATTACCATCTTGGGTTTTTGAGCTTCTTTGAATAGCCATAAGAGTGGGACGCTTAGCGGAAACTGGAGATTGTCCTCGCCATACGAATCCTTCATCCAATTGCTTCTGCAACTCGCCGAATTCATCATTTCCTCAAAAGGCAAGGCCGACAACGGATGTCGATAGATGCTTCGGCACATAGATCGCATGATTTCTTGATCATGATGGTATCGTTCGTTTGCGATGTCCGTGAGCTTTTGGACATGCTCAGCGACAGTATTAGTCTCTTTCGTTGGAAGGTAGGCCAGGATCGAGTCGACGAAGTCCTGCTTAAGGGCCTTCTGTTGCGAGTGCGCCTTAAAGTAATCTTCAAATTTGCGGCGCTCCACAACGTCCAAAGACTCGTCTTTTGCTCTGATTAGCGCCCCAAATTGACAAAATTCGTTGTATGGCCAGATGAGACCGTAGCCGTTAGTTAGATCTTGGAAGACATCATCCTCATGGCCTAATCTGAACCCTTCAGGGTCCTCCAACCACCTGGGCACAAAGCTGCCTCTTGCTTCTTCCGGTTTGTCTTTTCCATGGAAAAAGGACCCCAACAGTGCGTCATGTTGATCCGTAACGGGTGATTGTGAACGAATCCATTCGATCAAGTAATTCTGGACCATGTTCGTGAGCGAACCTGCAGCAGCCAGAGATATCTCACCAGCAGCAACAGACTTCCACAAACTCTTGATCGTCTCGACTGTAGTCTGAAGCTCTGTAACGTAGGTATGCAGCGCAACAGCTTCGCCAACGGAGTCGTCGGTGATGGAAGAGTTGGCGGAGTTACCCGGGGCTTCAGCTTGCCAAAAGTCTGATGCGCAGGCGTCGAAATCGGGCTCCTCCTCAACAATATGAGCTAGAGTTTCGAATGAGTTGACGGTAGGTGTCGCTTGCGAAACATTCGTGATTGGCCTCTTCGGTTTGCCCTTTGGTGACTCTGGCGGGAAGAGAATCGAATACGCCTGGGCGAGAGTCTCATTGAAGACCTTGTGACGCGTTGTCGCCGCGATGGTATCAGCCGACGCTGTAGGGAGACGATCGTAATACTTGGTGAGCTTGTTACGGTTGACGAGAACGACCTTGAACGCGTCATGAATCGTTTGTGGAGGGTTACGTTTGCTTTTCGAGGCTTTCTTCGCTTTCTCCAGCAGTTGCTTGATGGTAATGGCATTAGCTGCTGATACTGGCGTGGGGCTCCTGTCGAATGATGTAAGCCATTCCAGTACCAAACAGGTTCCGCGCTTGTACGTCTGGTATACGGTAAACAGGGTTGACGGCAGCCGATCGTTGCTGGTGGGAGTCGATGTAGCCATCTTGATGGTTTATCAGCGTACAGGGGATTACGTTTCTTATAATGTAGCCACAAAGCATGAAAGACAACTTTTCGTTCAACTATTGTCGGTTCTACCGCTATCGGTCGAGCTGGATGATGCAACCATGGTTCGCTCCATGAGTCACTCCCAGACACATAGCGCACGACCTTACCTCGCCCAGATCACGGAAGGTGCACTTCGCTCTGCGGAACCTCTGTGATGTCTTGAGGTCGCGAGGAGAAGATATCTCACCAAAAGCGCGTCAAACTAAACACAATAAGCCATCGTAGCCGCCTCACTGATGCGTGATGGCGCGCGTAGCTGCCAAAAACGTGCCACCTCGAGGCTGCGGGAAGGAGACATCGCACCCGATGCGCGCACAACTTGACACAATAAACCGGTGTAGGCGCCTCGCTGAAGCGTAATGTCGTGGGTAGATCAAACCGTCTCAATCCTGCGAGGCGACGACATCCCACTCTAAGCGCGCAAACCTCGATACAACAAACCAATGTAGGCGCCTCACTGCACCTCAATTTTGCGCATGGACCAAGAAAATCCGGGAGCGATACCATCAGTGCAAAAGCCGAGGTGATGACTGGATGCAGCAACTGAGCCATCCGTGGAACGAAGATGACTCCCCAGCCGCGCTAGCCTACATGCGGACCATCACACACAGCGATTGCCATCAGGGACGGAGGCGATGTCAGCGAGTAATGCGCACATCCCATGGCTGATATGAATGTGATAGCCATTGGCAGAGGGTAATTCTCGAGGTTGCGCTGTGCGAAGAAGCGGCTCAAAGTGCGCGCACGCTTGCAAACGTCATCGACCAGAGGACAGCACAGTAATGGCCATCGCGACTGCCCAAAATCAGCGAATAGTCCTGAGTGTTAATGGATGACACGAATGCGGCAACGGCGATAGATGGCTCTCGAGGGTATCTGAGTGAAGAAGGTGCTCAAAGTCCACGCGCGCCTAGAGCAGTCGTCAACAAGAGTGAAGCGCAACGATAGCCATCAGAACTGATAGATCTCAGCGTAATGCACAAATCCCATCGTCTTGCTGATCGGAATGCGGCAACGGCGATAATTGACTTGCGAGGGTACGCTGTGCGAGGATGCAGCTCAGGGTCTTCGCTCCGGCAGACGTCATCGAGGGAAGCACAGACACCATGGAAGAAGGCGCGCCTGTGGACTCATGTTCTATGGAGTGAATTAATATCTGACATACTCATTAGCTGCGTTCTCGCACACGCATCAAAGAAGGAATACCTATACACAAACTCCGCCCAATGCTAAGGCAGTCGAAATACCTGTCCAGCACTCGTCAGTCCAGGAGTCCCAATCCCCCTCTAAATCCCATTTCCTGCCCCGACCCAAACCCCACCTTCCTTCTCATTACGACATCCCCTCATCCCTCATCCCTCATTATGACTTCCCGCCCTTCCGTTGCTTAACCCTCGACCCAATACTATCACTTCCACTCGCTTGCAACCCCGCACCATTCGCCGGCGTACTCGGCGCCTCCTCAATCCTGTCCATATCCTTCTCGACCTCCACATCCTCCTTGATCAACTTCTCCTTCTCTTCCGTCTCCTCATCCGTCGGCCCATACTCACTGCGATCATCATCCGCATCCTTGTAGACCACAAAGCGGTATGCGATCCTGCAGATGAAGAACCACCAGAAGAGATTGACGGCCTGCAGCGAAGCGAGGAGGGCGAAGGTGATGTATTGACTGATCCAGCACTTGTATTGTTGCGTTTCCCAATTTAGCT